TTGATGAGAGGTGCTTGTTAGATTCAGTGAGCTTTTTCATTTCGGGGAAATAAGAAACCGAGCATGATAAACAGTTAAAAATTCCACTCACTTTCAATTTTCTCAACAAGGTAAGACAGCATGTTTGCGGCAGGCTTTCCAAATGCAACAGCACAGCTTTCGAGGCAAATAAATACACATTCTGAGTAAAAATGACAGCTGGTTGCATTTTCAAACGGATGTCATGACACACGGCTGAAGCCGAATGCAGGGTAGGAATTATGGGACGAAGAGGCCATGGCAGGTAAAAGCACAGAGTCAGTCGTCAAGAACCAACAAGACGACAGAATTCTAACCAGAGAAAAAGGAAATGGCGGAGAGATTATACATAGGGTCCAAATGTCTAATAAAATGATGGTGGTGCTGATGCAAATCCAAATTCAAAACAATGACAGGAAGTCGGCAGTAAAGAAAACACGGAGTCGGGATCCGGGAAAGATAATCAGGAAGTGCAGCCAATTCCAAATGTGATGACACCAGTACATGAAGGCAGACCCCCCCCATCCTCCTAAAACAAAGCTTATGGCCACGGTAGAGTCCAAAAACGGGAGCTGACAGCGCTCAGTTCCGCCACTCCCGGGAGCTTAAAGGTAACACGTCCACAGACACAGAACATGGCCTCGGCGTGGCCCGTCCCATCTGTGGGCAGCAGCAGGACCCCAGATGGAGGCCGGCACGGTCCCGCGCGGCCTGCTGGCTCTGCCTTTGACGGGGACACGGAGCGGGCCGCGTGTGAAGGCTCGGCTAAAAAAAGGAAATACTGAAGCCCGCGGGTGCTCCAAGTGCCAAAGTCCTGTTTCTTTTTTTTCTTTTTTTTTTTTATCACATTAAAGAAAAGTTGTGATGTGTAAGGGGTCTGAATGTTTTTGTCAAAAATGTGTCAGTTGTTTGTGAAATGTAAGGCTTGTTTTTGATCACCTGCACGGAAACGGCAAAATGCATTTTCGTCTGAGGCTTATGAACAAGTTTTAGTTAAGGTTTAAGGACAGGAACCACGCAATTAATGGAGCACATGACAAAATAATGTCTCTTTAGAGCAGTTTTACATGGGGTTGAACTTAAAGGGGTTTTTTTCAGGATTTAAAAAAAAAAAAAAATTGTTTTGTTTTATTTGAAGCATAATTTCAACTAACTGATGACAAAAAAAGACCGATAGATATAAAGATTTGTATCATTATGTGGCATCACTCTTCCTTCAAACTGCTTTCTAAAGGTTTGGGAACAAAAAGAGCAAATTGTTCCAGATACGCATATCCATTCTTCTAGAAATTGAGTTTCTTTCTCATTATTTGTGTTTGTTAATTTTTTTTTCAAGTTCTTACATATCAGCTGCATTTCAAAAACTTTTCTAGGGATTATGTCTGAAGTCAAATCTTGCTGTCACCAATATGGATCAGATAATAAAGTCATTATTCTAAGGCTATGGAGTTTGTTTATCATAGAACATGGAAGGGGAACTGAAATAGCTCATGGATTGGTTGATAATTAATAAATGATTTCAAGAACCTGTATTGTACTTTTCCAAATTTTTCACAAATACATTACAGATGTTTCAAACAAAATCTGTTTTATCTGGTTTGGTGGCTGTCTATCGATGGCATTGTAGATGCTGACAATCTTGTTGTGAATTAAACTAGTGTGACTTTGAGTTTTTTTAGTCTGCCCCAGACAGCTGAAAAAAGGAAAAAGTAAATAGACTGATATATATTGCGAGCTATAATTCGACACAGGCTGTGATTCTGATCCCTGGCTTCCCCCTGCAGCAGGGGGAAATAACATCAGGGTCATCGTTCCTTCAGTTCTAAACTGGTTTGTGGGAAGAATTGGCTGAAAAAGCTGATTTTATAAGCCAATACTCCACACCAGTGGGTGTGGAAGGACTGGAGGGGGAAAGAATCAAGGTGTTTCAATGGTCCAAAGTCCAAACCCAAACCTGTGATAGATAAATAAAGTCAAACTGAAAAACAAAACTTATTGCCATTAAATTAGTTTCTTCAAGCTGTTGAATCAAGGGATGGACTATATTTTTGGTAAAGTGAATGACAGCATAAAATGCTACGTGATTTTGGTCATTTGATGTTGGATTAATCTAATTTTACTGCTAAAAGGACAAGATGTTTATTTTAGATTAACCTTATTTTAAACTTAGAAGGGAGCAGATCATATTTCATAGTATCCACACGAATGACAGAGGGAGCTCTTTCTTTTTGACATTACCTTATAGCACTATCTCTCTTTTAGCATCGAGCTCACAAAAGTCCACAGACCCCTTAAAACAAACCACATAACAGGGTCAAATGTGCCGGCAGCCCTCGAAAACTGCAGCAGAGACTTTTTAAATTAATTATCTGCTGTTATCCTCCTGACATTTAGACATCTAGGAAGCCACTGACAGAAGAGAAGAAACTTGTGTTCAAGGTGGGAGGACATATCAGGTCTTCAGGATGCTTAGGGTGTTATATTTTGATGATACAGTGGTTAACGGTGTTTATTTGTTGACGAGATTCTTTCTTACACCCAAGTGTAATGCTAGCTTGCAGGGATCTCTTCACAGCTTTTTTTTATTTTATTTATTGTGGTGGGTGGGCAGGATATATGAGGCTCCTCCGAGACATGTCTGGGAATTCAATAAAGACGGGAATCTTATTACTTGGTCCATGTCTTTCAGGAATACACCGATGAAGCCCTGCTTCTTGTTTTCTTTGGGGCAATCTGTGTGCCCACACTCAGCTGGGAACAATCTCTTTGTTGACGGATGGCAAAATAATGGAGAAAAAACGGCAGAGGAAGAGTTACTGTCCTAATTCCAAATGAAAATTAATTTATGGGGTGGGGGCATATTTATTTCTGGTAACTCAATAAAACAAATGTGATTATGTTATGGAGGAGGGCGAGCTCAACATGTCGGGAAAGGCTTCGTGTTTCTGATGCATCCTGTTGCACTCTGACGAAAACACAAAATCTTGTTTTCTGTGATATGCGAGGCAGATCACAGTCGTCTTTAAAGTGTCAAAGCACAAAACTGCCACAAACTTATAAGTGAGATGAGAAGGAGTGTGCCCTCAGATCTTCAAGGCACAAATCCGATAACCCACTGAAAATGTATACGATGGGAGAAATCTGCACAAAACTAGTTCTGGAAGTATGGTTAAAAGTTTTGTGCAGCAACAAACTGTAAAATGTTATTTTCATAAGATTTCCCAATTTTTTTGTACATTTACAACCACGTCAGTCGGTTTTGTGGTTAATTTTTCTACATATTTAGGTCTGTATCTGTTCTGTGCCGGATTGTTTTACTCGCAATAACACACCCAATTAATCTGTCTATGCCTCCCAGATTTCCGACAACCTTCTGAGCAGAAAATGGGATGGAGGATTCTCATGTGGATCCTCCTGCTCTGTCTGCAGGGACGTTGCCATGGTGATCCTCCTCATCTCAGTTGCAGTTGAATTGACCTGAATTGAATTCAACGGAAAAACCGATCCACTGCAAGTTCATGACCAGGCAGAGACCTGGAGCTTTACAAGCTAAAACACAAATGACTATCAGTTGGATTTTTGTCAGATGAGTTCACACAGCGCTGGTCAGTGCAGGAGGTATTTTTAACTGCATGATTTATATCAGTCGTTGTCTCCGACCTTAGATGCCGGCCTTGGAATGTCAGCTGTGGTGGGTTGAGTCACGATTACTAAGTCTCTGAACACTTTTTTACCACCTATGTAATTTCAGCAGGCTCACCGAATAAACTCTTAACACTAAGCCTGGGATGAAGGCCTCTCAGTTCCACTTCCAGTGGACGTTCTGTGCCACCTGGATGTGGGGTCCGTTAGTAATTGCATCATGTTTTGCTTTTGACTTTTTAAAAAGATTTTAGAGACGTTTCTTGCGTGTTTTGCTCTCGTGACACGAGGAGTCGTTTAAAGTTTTGGAGTAACTACTCATACCGTCACAAGGGGGAGACAAAAGTTTGGCACCTGTTCGGGTTTTGAGCTGATGTGTACAGCCTCAGCACAGCATGGCGCTGCAAACGAGATATACTCCAAAAGGTCCAACGGATTCTTGGCTCGCAAGTCCGAAAATTGCTCGGCCGTATAAAACCCTGCCACCAAAAGCTGGATGCGGTAAAAGACGGAGGGAAAACTGCGTAAGAAATCTTATACAAAAATGCTTGAGATGTTGCTGGATCATACAAGTTTTCAGCTTTAAATCCCACACAGATATTAGATTTTTCTAGGCTCCTGTCGGCTTTTAAATGCCCCTTAATAATGGCACTATGTTGAATTGGAGAAGGAAAAAAGCAACAGAAGTACATTAAAATATTTTTGAAAAATCATTAAAACATACAGATTGTAAGACGCATGTTTACTGTGATCAAATGCAGCAGATGCTCTTACATATTCCAACAGGAACCAGATATAATACACATATATCAGGATACATGGGGTTCCTGGATCATGTTAAAGAACAACAACCGGGAGAGACAGAACAGTTGTTAAATCTTATTTTTGGTATGTTCCTTCAGAAGGCCTTTGCGTGGCCTCTGGATCACTTTCCCTCCAGCTGGGTTTTGGTGTCATCTTCAGCACTTTTTTACAACTCTTAAAACCATGTGACATGTCCGCAACCTTTAAAGATTACACCCGGCACACAGGGCCACGGGCGCCTAACCCCGACTATGTTTATCTAGCAGCTTCGAGGAATATTTTTCTTTGTGGCAACTTAAAATAGCTTCTTTCCTTTTTTTCCCACTATACATGAATATGTGGCTATTATTTCAGGAGTCTGTGTGGGATGGTTATACAATCGCACTGTGGCTG